TCCAGGCAGGAGGTGATGTGAAAGACCTCAGCCTGAGACCCCTAGTTCGAGCAGACAGTACTGACTTTGATGGACCGATGGTCTCGTTCGGTATAAGGCAGCTTCATGCTGCTGCTGGCGGTGGGGTCATAGAGCAGCAAGATGTTCAGGCTTTCAACAGTCAAAGTTCCCTTTGTCAGATCTTGCTGGTCTCTAAGGTGCTACCGGAGTCAAATCAACCTGTTCTACTGGAGATCAATACAGCTACCCTCTGAAACTATCATTCTCAGTGCTTCTGTCCTGTACTCCATGGGTTGCCCCGCACCAGAAATTAACAGTCCAGCAAAACACCATGGTGATGAAGTCCGGTTGAAAACAACAGAACCGGGGTACAGTCACAATTTCTCAGACTGATAGAACTTAGTTGTGACGAATTTTTACTGGCTGTATGCAATGTTCCCTCTAAGCTGTGGAGTCTCATGAGCAAAAATTCTACTTTGTGAGCTACTGGCATTAAAGTTGTGAGCGGGAGAATTAGCTCCTGCATAAATTTGTTTGCTCTGGAGCCCTCCTCCCTGAGCCAAGACAAAAATGTGTGAGCCAGAGGCTAAAAAACTATGAGCTAGCTCACACTAACTCAGCTTAGAGGGAACACTGGCTGTATGTATAGGAGCTGCGGTGGCTCAAGTGGTTAAGACGCTGAGCTGCAGGCTGCGGAAGGTTGGTAGTTCAGCAGTTCGAGACCCGAGTGTGCCGCATGACGGAGTGAGCTCCCATCTCTCGTTCCAGCTCCTGCCAACCTAGCAGTTCGAAAGCAAGAAATTGCAAGTAGATAAATAGGGACCACTTCGGTGGGAAGGTAACAGCGTTCCGTGCTTTCTCTTTTTAGTCTCCACAAGCTGGACCGGAAAATAAGCCTCCACAGGTAGGGATTCTTTTCCTTCCATGAAAATTTGCCACTTCCATTTTTGAACAAGACTAATTCCTCGATTTCTCTCTCTTAGCCTTCTCCATATCAACCAGAAAATGAACCTCAAGGAGTACGTATTCCTATCTACCAAGAGATTTGCCTTTCCGTATTACTCAAAAAAAAATTCAAGTAACTTCTGCCTTTTCTCTTTTTAGCCCCCTCAGGGAGAACCACAAAACGAGTCTTCTCAAGTAAGTAGTCCTTCCTTCCAAGAAAACTTGCATCTTTGGTCCTGAAGCAGAGTAATACCTCATTTTTCTCTTTTAGCCTTCTTCACCGGAAAATCAACCTCAGGTAGTATATATACTGCCCTTCCAAGAGTTTTGTATTTGGCATATTACTCTCAAAATGCAAATAACCTTCTTTCCCTTTAGCCTACTCAGAGAGAACCAGAAGGGGAATCTCAGCAGGTCAGTATTCCTTCCTTCCAAAAAATCTTGCATCTCTCTCTCTCTCTTTATTTATATATCTTCTCTTCTAGCCTTCTTCACCAGAAAAGCAACCTCAGGTAGTATATATACTGTCCTTCCTGTTGGATCCCCAGGCATTCGAAATAACTCCACGTTTGATTCAAAGCAAGGTTTATTTCAAAGCGATGGTTCAAGCAGGAACAAGGACATTGTTAGGAATGACTACCAATACACAGGGATAACATAATAAAGGGATTTGAACCAGGTTAGGGCCAATGAGCTCAGTTCCCGCTGGCGGGAATAGAACTTGGAAATGCGCGCCCATTTCATGGGAACGTAACAGTTCAGTACAATCAACACAGGTTCAGTTCACAGGGGAGATACCCATAACAAGCTGAGCAAAGCACCGACTCCCACCACCAGCTGCATGACCTTGGCCAGTTCCGCAAAGTACAAAGAAGCATAATGAAGCTACAGGAGCTAGGGGGGGGAGGAAGAGCCCAAGACGTGTTAAACAGGTAACACCAGATACAATGGCAGCTAGCTGACAATGGCTCACTCACAACTTTAATGCTGGTAGCTCACAAAGTAGAATTTTTGCTTACAAGACTCCACAGCTTAGAGGGAACATTGAGATTCCCAACACTTATTACGCCATTGAGAAATGGATGGGGGATCAGGATTTTTCCAGGAGGCAGCAATGGAGAGCCGCGCTGTGGCTATTAGTGTGGCGGCTAGCTCGGAAATCACTTCTTGGTCATTAATGGTGTGCGTCGAGTTAAGTAGCAGTATAGCCGGGTCCAGTGGAATGTCTTCTGATGTTATTTATTTCTCCCAGAATTTGGGACCAGAAGGCTTGTAGAACTGAGCATGGCCACCAGCAGTGATAAAAGTCACTGGTGGACCCACAACCTTTCCAACACTTAGAGCTATTATGTGGATGCATGCGTTGCAGCCTAGCTGGGGAGAGATACCATCTGGTTATAGTTTTGAAAAATCGTAATCTTATATTGAAGATCCTCGATTTGTATTGCTGCAACCTGCATTGTCTACCTGGTCAGACAGGTCAACCACTAAAATGGACTGGGCCAGTGTGGAAAGGAGGGGGGCACCAAGACTGGCCAGCGCTTAGGGCACCAGTGAGCCTTCATCCGCCCCTGCTCGCCTGACTAAAATGCCCCCGGGCAAATGAGAGAGAACTGTGATTTCAATTTGCAAAGGACAAAGACGGTCCTTTCGATATGCGGCAAGAGGCGTTGATTTCACTTGCGGTACTCCGCCAGGGCAACCGCGGGGACTGCAATACGCTGCAGCATTTCCTGTGAAAAAAGCCTGAAGCATCTGGAACTTTTCAGTTTAGGAACTTTTCAGTTTAGACTGCCCTAAGCGCTGGCCAGTCTTGGTGCCCCCCTCCTTTCCACTCTGGGAGGTCGTGAGAGAGATTTATAAACTTACCCACGAGGTGGAGAGAGTGGACAAAGATAACTTTTCTCCCTCTCCCAAAATACTAGCATTCAAGGGCATCCTGTGAAGCTGATTGGACAAAAGGAAATACTTCTTTACCTGACAAGTGATTAAAATGTGGAATTCTCTGCCAGAGGATGTAGTGATGGCCACGAGAATAGACAGCTTTAAAAGGGGATGAGATAGATTTATGGAGGAGAGGTTTGTCAGCAGCGACTAGCCATGGTGGCTTAGGGGAACCTCCACAATCAGAGGCAGCCAACTTCTGAATCGCAGTGCCAGAAGGCAGTATCAAGGCAAGGCCTTGGCCTCTATGCACTGCTGTTGGCCCTCCAGAGGAACAGGCCACTGCGTGAGACAGGATGCTGGACTAGCTATTCAAGGGTGATAGCTAGCTTGGCCGAGGGAGGCCAAGCTAGCTATCACCAGGGCCGGAGCCTTTTCAGTGGCGGCCCCTACCTGGTGGAATGAGCTCCCGGAGGAGATCAGGGCCCTGTGGGACCTTTTGCAGTTCCACAGGGCCTGTAAGACGGAGCTCTTCCACCAGGCATTTAATTAGGGGCCACCGCTACTGCAGGCCGTTACTGCAGGCCCCTATTGCAGGCCGTTACTGCAGAGCTTGGTCTGTGGTTTTAACATCTAACTGATTATGAGCAGAAACATCGTGGAACATCTGGGCAGTGGAAATTTACTCTAGCAATATACCATCTAGGTTAATTTAACAGCCGCCAGCACTTTGTATTTATAAAGTTTTTTATTGTATGGTTAAATATTGTGTAACGTTGATGTATTTATGCTTTTATGGAAGCCGCCCTGAGCCCGCTTGCGGGGAGGGCGGGGTATAAATTCGATAATAAATAAACAAATAAACTAGATGGACCCCTGGTCCCTTGTATGGCCGTGGCCCCACCCCCAGCGTGCCTGGCGTCATAACGTCACTTCCCTGTGATGCGCATGCTGGGGCGGGGTTCCCACCGGGGCCCGATTCCCTGGCGGGGAACGGGCCTCTGGGGCGGGGGGGTTTCCGCCCCCCAGGGGGCCTTGGGAGCCGTCAAAGGGCCGCTTAAGTGATTAGTGAACACGTGAAGCCGCCTTGTACTGAAATCAGACCTTTGGGCTATCAAAGTCATGTTTGTCTACTCAGACTGGCACCAGCTCTCCATTTGAGCTATCAAAGTCAGGTTTGTCTACTCGACTGGCAGCAGCTCTCCAGGGTCTCAGTCTCAAGTCTTTCACGTCACCTACTCCCTGATTGCCCTGATCTGAATAGCCCAAGGTAGCCCAATCTCAGATCTCAGAAGTTAAGCAGGGTCAGCCTCGGTCAGTATTTAGATGGGAGACCACCAAGGAAGCCCAGGGTTGCTAGGCAGAGGCAGGCAATGGTAAACGTCATCTGAACCTCTCTTGCCTTGAAAACCCTACAGGGTCACCTACCTTTGCAACTTGATGCCCCCTTCCCAAAAAACCTGCCTTTATCCTTTTAACTGGAGATGCTGGGGACTGAACCTGGGACCTTCTGCGTACCCAACAAATGCTCTGCTACTGAGCCATGGGTCTCCTTAAGGAATGTCAGGCAAATTATTGGCTCTGAAGGAATTGGTATGCTGAGTGCAAGCCTACTTTTTCCATGTCTTCACCCCATGTTGTCCCAGGAACATCCACATGGAGTAGGAACTGGGTATGGACTGAAGCAAACGGACAGCTAGCCAATCTCAAATTGTGCCTGATTGAAACCAGGGACGCCAAACATAGATCAAATGTGGTTGAATAGATTTAAGACACCCAGTTCCACATAGATCGCACTGTAGGTTCACTTTAGAGGGAGGCTGTTTTTAGAACGGCATGACCCCTTGGAAGTCAAATCCTCCTCAAACAGTGTACCACCCCTCTCCTCGTATATTTATGCTTTGCAAGATAGCCAGAGGATTTGGTTGGGGTCCCCACCAGATTCAGTCTGGGGCCCAGAAGCCAAACATCTGGAGGTCATTCAGCAGCATAGTGCAGATAGTCAAAACTATTTCCAGACTAAACTTGTGGGTTTCAACCGACCCTAATCCGGTTGAGTAGGCACGGCCTGAAACCAAACGAATTAACAAAGGAAACATGGAATCCCTTGGAAAACAATTGCCCAAGTCGAATACTAGTAACAGAATATTTCATTATTTGTTTCTCCGCAGAGTCTGATTTCGGAGGCCTACAGAATCTGGAGTCCACTTACGCGAGCATAGTGGAACATCTCAATGACACGCTGAGGCAACGGAGACACGCCGGGGATGACGACTACAACATCGAAGTGCTTCTCGGGGTGGACGACTCGGTTGTCCGGTTCCATGGCAAAGAACACGTTCAGAACTACCTCCTCACCCTGATGAATATTGTGAGTGAGTTTCCGCAGTGCTTGTGGATGGCGGGTGCAGGTGTGGACTCACAACTCACTTCTTTATGGCAGAGGTGCAGTTAGCTATCCCTCCGCCCACTTGATTATTATTGATTTGATTTATAGACCCCCCCTCCCCCAAAGGGCTCAAGGCGGTGCACAACATTCCATAAATACATATATGAATCAATCAGTAGTAGTTAAATTCAGTTTAAAACTGTTAAACTATTAAAAACGATACAATACAGATTGCAACTAGTTCAGATGGCATTGGATACCAATTTATGCCCTTTCCCCTGAAGGGGAGGGGGGAGTAAGGGAGGCCAGGCTCAATGGCAGACCACGGCTGTCCCCAACCATTGGCCTGGTGGAATATCTCTGACTTACAGGCCATGCGGAACGGCACCAAGCCCCACAGGGCACAGATGCCCCAGAAAGTCGGACCAGCACCAATGGGTTGGGATTAAATCAAAAGAGTTTTCAGCTAAAAATTAGGAAGAACTTCCTGACAGAGCAGTTCCTCAATGGGACAGGCTTCCTCAGGAGATGGTGGGCTCTCCTTCTTTGGAGGTTTTCAGACAGAGGCTGGATGGCCATCGGACAGCAATGCTGATTCTGTGAACTTAGGCAGATCACGAGAGGGAGGGCAGGAAGGTTTGCCCCAGTGCTTAGTTCCCGTGGCCCTTTCTTACACGCCCAGGGAAATGCTGATCGCCGCTTTGGGGTCAGGAAGTCGTTTTTCTCCAGGCCACTTTGGCCGGGGATCCTGGAGGTTTTTTGTCATCTTCTGGGCATGGAAAAGGGGTCACTGCGGGTGTGGAGGGGGGGGGGTATTTGTGCAATTCCTGCATTGTGCAGGGGGTTGGCCAAGACAACCTTGGAGGTTCCTTTCAGCGCTATGATTCTGTGTCCCTAGGCAGAGAGATTAGAATTGGGGTGTGGTCCCAATGGGGTATTTTCCAGATTTTGATGCGGAAGGCCTGTCTGCTTCTCCAATATCTGTCCTTGTTACCCACCAGAGAACCCAATGCCACACTTTAGACTTACCTTGTAAGCAGTGTTCCCTCTAAGCTGAGATAGTGTGAGCTAGCTCATAGTTTTTTAGCCTGCGGCTCACACATTTTTGTCTTAGCTCAGAAAGGAGGGCTCCAGAGCAAACTAATTTATGCAGTATCCAAATTGCTCACTCACAACTTTGTTGCCAGTAGCTTATGAAGTCAAATTTTTGCTCACAAGGTTCCATAGCTTGGAGGGAACATTGCTTGTAAGCAGGGGTCGTTTCGTAGAAAAAGAGCTAGGGGAACTCATTAGCATAACTCATTAGCATATGCCACACCCCCTGACATCATTGGAAGTGTGTCATAAGGCCACACCCCCTGACATCACCAGAAGTGTGTCATAAGGCCACACACCCCGCCCCCAATGGTCCCGGCCACCGCCGGCCTTGCAGCTCCACTGCTGAGCCCCATGAGGGGCCCGGCGGTGGACCTGCAAGGCCGGCGGGAGTGCAAGGAAGCCCCGCGAAGGCCCTCCCTGGCCCCAGGCAGGTAGGGGTGGGAAGAGGCAGGGAGGAAGCAACTTACCCTCCCTCTTCTCCTGCCTCCTCCTGGCTGAATGAGGGCCGGAAGCGGGGCGGCTGGAAGCAGGGGCGGGGCTTCGTCATGTGCCCTGCCCCCCGTACCTCACCCGGGGGAACTGCGTTCCCCTGCGATTCCCCCCCAAATGACCTCTGGACCTCAGTTTTGGGCACCACAATTTAAGAAGGATATAGACAAGCTAGAACGTGTCCAGAGGAGGGCAACGAAGATGGTAAGGGGTCTGGAGATCAAATCCTGTGAGGAAAGGTTGAAGAAGCTGGGCATGTTTAGCCTGGAGATGAGACGACTGAGAGGTGATATGATAACCAGGGCTTTTTTTTGTAGAAAAAGCCCAGCAGGAACTCATTAGCATAATAGGCTACACCCAACAGCATAGACTCATTAGCATATTAGGCCACACCCCTGACAGCACAGCTCCCTCCCAGGATCAGCTTCCCCAGAGAACCCAGGGAACCCCAGGAGGGGAGGCAGTTTAAACTGCCTCCCCTCCCTGGATCAGCTTATTCAGCAGGCCTGGAAGAGTCCATCCCAACTGAATCTGTTTCCACATCAGCACTTTATTTATTTATTCAATTTATACCCCGCTCTCCCCGCCAAGGCGGTGGACAAGCCTAAAAATGGTATTCCGATCCCCTAGCACGTATTAGAGCTGCCGGAAGCAACTGGGGGAGGGGGGATCCAGATTGGAGATCCAGTGCTGGAGTGGTTAAATTCTCCCCTTTTTTGTTACCCTGATCAAAAATGTATTTATTTCTTTACATTATTTATATTCCCCCTTTCTCACTGGGACTCAATGTCCCAGTGCAGAGAGCAAATCAATACAATCAACAGGATGGGACCTTCAATAAGCAACTGAATAGGATTTGGATTGTAGAACCAGCCAGAAATCTAGAAGACAGAACTGGAGCAAAGCATAAGTGTTAACACGACACATTCAGGGGTGTCAAACGTGTGGCCCGGGGGCCAGATGAGGCCCCCGGAGGGCTTCTATCAGGCCCGCAGGGGAACTGGCTGTCTCCTGCTTCTTCTTCCAGTTCTGCTGCTGCTGCGTCATCGTAGGTTTGCAGCTTACAGATACACACCTGAACAGCAGACTCAAGATTGCAACTGCACAGACATTTTGATGCAATAATTCAGAGCAAGAGGTCTCAGTTATCAGAGACCACTAAATAAACAAATATTGCAAGAGTGCTACTGGTTTAAGCATGTTTTTATTTTAAGTAAAAAAAAATTTGTGTTTGTGTCCTTTATAAAGTTTATATCTCCACTACCTGGCATTATGTTTTATGGCACACATGGCCCGGCCCAACAAGGTCTCATTTATGTCAGATCCGGCCCTCCTTACAAACGAGTTCGACACCCCTGCATTAAATGATGTAAAATTAAATAGTAGGATCCAACTTACAGCAAACTATGCTCACGGTCCCCCATAATTTATCCAAGTAACTTTGTGAATCATTTTGTAACCGTGCTGTCCTATTGCCCACCTGTGTTCCCTCTAAGCTGTGGAGTTCCCTCTAAGCTGTGGAGCTCTACTTTGTGAGCTACTGGCATTAAAGTTGTGAGCAGGTAATTTGGCTGCTGCATAAATTAGTTTGCTCTGGAGCCATCCTTCCTGAGCTAAGAAAAAAATGTGTGAGCCAGAAGCTAAAGAACTGTGAGCTAGCTCACACTCACTCGGCTTACAGTGAGTAATTCTTGAATAATTCAGTTTTGCAGATAAGATCTCATGGATTCTTTTTTTCAGCTTTGTCGAAGGATTTGAACCCAAGTCCCGAGAGTCACTTTTGCTCTAGCCCCAAGAATCTGCTCCCAGACACAAATCCGCTTTTCTGGATCAGAGCCGATGTATTTGAAGAGTATTCTTTAGGTTGATTGTCTCTTGACTTAGAACCTGGGTGTTTAGCCGTGCAAATTAATCTCCTGCATTGCCTTTTAGATACGATAATAACGCTTCCATTTGGGAGTATTGACTTTCAACACTAATGCACTTTACTCTGCAAACTGCTGAGCCAACTTTTCTTTTTTTATTACTGAAGCAGATCTGGAGTAAAATGATGTCTCTCCTTCTTTTAAAAAAGAGCACACCGCCATCTGCTGTTAATACAGAGTACATCCAAGGACTAGTATTTACATGATACTGGACGAGATATATTATTTCCTCTGGTGATCTCCTGAAACACTCCTTTAAAATGTCTAATTTCATCCTGTCCAGCATTTTAAATCCCCGGAGCTTCCTGATGGCATACTCGTCTCAGAGTCTCAGCAACCCTGGAAGGCTTAAATGTCAAGCCCTACAGAGAAAGGTGCCGCCCAGAGATGGCTGATAATTCGTCATATCGGGCTGGATCCCCCCCTATTTGTACTGCTAACAGTACCTCCTTCTCCCTGCACAAGATGCCCTCCCCTTTCCCTCCTTAGGAGAAGAAGCCTTATGCAGGAGATCCACAGGATCTAACGCCCTGCGTCTTCCAATTGAGACATAGTCCTTGAGTGATAAGAACTCCCTTTTTAATGTTATCCTTCAGATTCCCAGTGTTCCTAAGTGCCATGCTGGAGAGCACTTCTCTTTTCTAATTGGTAACTAATAGGTGATCTGTCAGGAGATAAAAGGAAGTCCTTCTTCACCCAAAGAGTGATTAACACATAGAATTCACTGCCACAGGAGGTGGCGGCGACTACAACCATGGACGGCTTTAAGAGGGAATTGGATAAACATATGGAGCAGCGGTCCATCAGTGGCTATTAGCCACAAGGTATAGATAGGAACTCTCGGTCTGGGGCAAGTGATGCTCTATATTCTTGGTGCTTGGGGGGACAACAGAGGGAGGTCTTCTAGTGTCCTGGCCCCACCGCTGGACCTCCTGATGGCCCCTGGTATTTTTGGCCACTGTGTGACAGCGTGTTGGACTGGATGGGCCATTGGCCTGATCCAACATTGGCTTCTCTGATGTTCTTACGTTCTTATTTTATTTTATTTCTTTATTTTTATTTATACGCCGCCTTTATCGCTGGGACTCCAGGTGGATCGTACAGAATGAGTCAGTACAATCCACGGGACGGGACTAAGTTAATTAATTAATTAATTATCGTATGGCATTGTGTGTCGAGTAGCCAGGAGATTCTAAGGTTGGCAGCTGGAAGTTCTAGCTCTTTTAGCGTTATGCTCCACTAGGTGGCGACATTCAAGAAACGATACAATAGGATTCGGGTTGTAGAACCAACCCGAAGACTAAAGAGAGAACTGAAACAAAGTAAGTATTAACATTACATGTTAAATGATGCAGGATTACACAGTAGGACCCAGACTACAGCAAGCTGTACGCAGATGTATAGATCGCAATCCCTAATGATTTGTCCAAGTAACTTTGCAAATCATTTTTGTACAGCGCTACCCTATTGTCCACATAGAAAAGCCCCCTTGAATAATTCAGTTTTGCATAGTTTGTGGAAAGTCGGGAGAATGGAGGCCTTCCTGACCCTCTCAGGCAGGCCATTCCACAAAGCGGGCGTCACAATACGAAAGCACACGTATGGGCAGTTATCGATTTTGTCCCTCTGACTGAAGATGGGAGGGTTTGAAACCAGGACCTTCCGCATGCCAAGCATGTCCTCTTCCCCTGAGCGATGGCCTCTGACCACTGGCACCTTCGCCTCTCACCACCTGTTGTACCCCGTGAAGCCACCCTCGGACAGCAGATATGCTCCGTGTTCCCTGTAAGCTGAGTTAGTGTGAGTTAGCCCACAGTTTTTTAGCCTCGGGCTCTCACATTTTTTGGCTTAGCTCAGGAAGGATGGTTCCAGGGCAAGCTCATTTATGCAGCAGCCAGATCGCTCGCTCACAGCTTTAATGCCAGTCGCTCACCAAGTAGAATTTTTGCTCACAGGACTCCACAGCTTAGAGGGAGCATTGTGGAGCGGGTTTAGTTAAATGATTCTCCAGCCAGGGCCGGCTCACCCACTAGGTGAACTAGGCAGTCACCTAGAGCGCCGGGCCCTGGATGGGGTGCCGAACTGTGCCTCCCCCCCCGCCAGAAGCCCGTGTGCTATTGCTGCTCCCAGCCACGTGGAATGGGGGGCGCGAAAGGGGAGCGCAAGGCCACCTCGCCTTCCCCCTCCACCTGGGGTCGGCTTTTGTAAATCCAAATGTGGGGTGTTTTGGTTTGGGTGCCCAGAAACCTCGCCGTCTCCTCCTTGCTCACCTAAAGGGGGAGAGAAGTAGGACTTCCTTCTCTCCAGGAGGTTGGCAACCCCATAATTGGGTGCGCGGGCACGTCAGAAGGTAGCCCCGCCTAGGGTGCAAAAAACCCTCGGGCCGGCCCTGTCTCCAGCATGTCTCCCACTAGATGGCAGCTTTCTCCTTTGCGGATAACCAGTCTCAGTTACAGAGCATGAGAAGGACTTTGTGAGCGAAAGAGGGAAATCGATGTTTCTGCCGCTTTAAAAAGGATCGATTCTTCATAGACTTCAAAACCTCCCAGAGATGAAGCTCCTAAAGACTTTAGCAAGTCACGTGTCTTAGAGAAATTGATTACCCACCGGAATGTAGAAGGAGCTCTTGACTCGTTGGGTCTCCAGTGGCAGCTTGCGCCAGACAGCAATCTTTCTCTGGTTATTAAGTTAGGGAGATGATAGATGATTGATAGATGATAGATAATGGATGGATGCAGGGCTATTTTTGGGCAGGAACACACAGGAACGGAGTTCCGGCTGGCTTCAGAGTTGGCCACGCCCACTACAGCCAAAACCTCTGCATGTGCGTGGCTACAGAGGGAAGGCCTGGAGAGCGACCCCCCTAGTGACTCTGAGGCAGGGGGGCCGGGGGGGTCCTGGAAGGATTGGTGAGGCATTTAAATGCCTCCCCATGCCTTCCCTGGCCTGTCCAAGGGCCGTCTTGCCCGGGTTCCCTCAGCCATGGGAATGAAGTTTAAACTGCCTCCCTCCCCTTCAAGGGGGGGCTTGCCCGGGCAAGCCAAAGGAAGGCATGGGGGTGTGGTCTAATACACTAATAAGCTGTGCTGTCAGGGGTGTGGCCTATTATGCTAATGAGTTCCTGCTGGGCTATTTCTACAAAAATTGCCCTGGATGGATGGATGGATGGATGGAGATTTCTTCTGGCCATGAAAGGGACAGAGAAGACCCAGAGGGTTCCTTGCCACATGGTTGGGAGGATCAGTATCGAGCCTTTTGCGTACAGCGCAGAGTGGACTCGTTTGGAAAAGGCAACTCAAGGAAGAAACAAGCTCCGGAGTGAATTATTCTTGTAATTCTTTTAGACTCTCTCTGCCTCTTGGTACGTAAGCCCCACGTTGAGGACCCAACTGTGTGTTTTCCTTCTGAACCGAATAATTATTTATCAGGGTTCCCCCCCCCCTCTCTCACGTTTCTCTTCATTTCTCAGGTGAATGAAATTTACCATGACGAATCCTTGGGGGTCCACATCAACGTGGTGCTGGTGCGCATGATGATGCTAGGCTACGCCAAGGTAAATGAACCAGACGGACAGTTCATGCCCCTCTCTCACCTTCTCCTTCTGATCGATCTTGCAGGAAGGCTGGGTGGGCGGAAGAACCAGTTCATTGATGTCAGTAAGGGCTCGCAGATAATAATTACAGTTGCACTTGACCGCACATGTAAATTTGGTAAATTTCCAGGCCTCCCGTGCAAAACACTAGAGAGTGTGTGTGTCCAAATGAATTTGGGGGTGAACTGTCAGTAGGCGCTCAGGACAGACACACCCTGCATGGGGCAAAGCGTGGCCAATTATAGAGCAAGATGCTACCTCGGGACATGATGATGTGATTGCCCTCTAGAACAATGTGCAGGTGGGATTAATGCCAGGTGAGACGGTGTGCAAGGGAAGTCTGAATGGTGTTCCCAAGGATGAACAGAACTGGGGAAACTCATGATGTGTCCAAATGAATTTGGGGGTGAACTGTCAATAGGCGCTCAGGACAGACACACCCTGCATGGGGCAGAGCGTGGCCAATTATAGGGCAAAATGCTACCTCGGGACATGATGATGCGATTGCCCCCTAGAATAATGTGCAGGTGGGATTAACGCCAGGTTAGACGGTGTGCAGGGGAAGTCTGAATGGTGTTCCCAGGGATAAGCAGATTGGGGAAACTCATGATGTTTTGCATGCGTACATAGCTATTGGCTGCTTAATGACCCTCTGTTGTTTGAACAGGAAGCTGCTGGGGTGGGGTAGAAGGTGTTAAGTGGTCTTGAATAGTGCATAATTATGGTAAATGGGTTCAGGACAGGTTCCTGCCCGGTGGGATACTGATTAGTAAGGTGAAGCAATGTCTTCTCCGTTATTGCCGTCGTGCACGGTTTCAGCGTGGGAACGGGGGTAATTAGCAGGCAAACCCATGACTTTACACCTTACAGAATCCCTACCCAGATGTGTCTCTGACCTGTGGTTGCTGGCATCCATTTTGTGGGACACCAGAACCATTTTGCAGACCTGGCAATACCCAGAGCGTGTGATTTTTGGGGTGCTGTTAAAATGAAGGGTGGTTGGATTTACTCCTTTCAGGTGCCAAACTCTCCCTTAAAAAAAAAAGCAGGAGGAGGGGTCTGGGGCTAATACCCTGCATAGGACGGGCTATGGCTCAGTGGTAGACCATCTACTTGGTACACAGAAGGTCCCTATATGGTCAGGGACTTGTCTACCTGAGGGACCGCCTTTCCCCGTATGTTCTTCAGAGAGCACTGAGATCTGGGATGCAACATCGCCTGACCCTTCCTGGCCTTAAAGAGGCCAGGTTGACAACAGCTAGGTCTAGAGCATCTTCGCTAGCTGCACCAGCATATTGGAACGAGCTCCCCAGTGAGATCCAGGCCCTGCGAGATCTCCAGCAATTTCGCAGGGCCGTGAAGACAGAGCTTTTCCGCCAGGCATACCAGTGAGAGCGATGGTATGCCAGCCAAGCCTGCCGACCTCCGAAGACATGTATTTTGTATAAGTAGTTAGCAATGTGGTCGAGGTCCAGTCGTAATGATTTACCGAACCGCTTTTACTTATATTTATTGTATCTGTGTAAGTTGTTTTATGGATTAATGTTTTATCTATGTTGGTTTTATTAATGTTGTGAGCCGCCCTGAGCCGCTTTGGTGGAAGGGCGGGATAAAAGTTGAATAAATAAATAAATAATTAAATAAATAAAATCCCCAGCATCTCCAGTCAAGGATTGTGGCCGCGGGTGATGTGAAAGACCTCCACCTGAAAAACCTGGAGAGTTGCTGACCATCTGAATAGACAGTTATGGAACTTAATGGACCAATGGACCACTCTTCACCCAAAGAGTGATTAGCACATGGAATTCACTGCCATGGGAGGTGGTGGCAGCTACAAGCATGGGCAGCTTCAAGAGGGAATTAGATAAGCATATGGAGCAGAGGTCCATCAGTGGCTATTGGCCACAAGGTATAGATAGGGACTCTGGGGCAATTGATGCTCTGTAGTCTTGGTCCTTGGGGGGGGGCAACAGTGGGAGGGCTTCTAGTGCCCTGGCCCCACTGCTGGACCTCCTGATGGCACCTGGTATTTCTGGCCACTGTGTGACACAGGGTGTTGCACTGGATGGGCCATTGGCCTGATCCAGCATTGGCTTCTCTTATGTTCTTAAGGGTCTGATTCAGAATAAGGCAGCTTCAGGTGCATTCACGTGTGCTTCCTTCTCTGCTTCCCACCCACCTTTGAGCCAGTTTGGTGTCGTGGTTAAGTGCGCGGACTCTAATCTGGGAGAACCGGGTTTGATTCCCCACTCCTCCACTTGCAGCTGCTGGATGACCTTGGGCAAGCCATAGTTCTAGCACAGCTGTTCTCGAAAAAGAGCAGTTTCTGTCAGAGCTCTCTCAGCCCCAGCTACCTCACAGGGTGTCTGTGGTGGGGAGGGGAAGGGAAAGGAGATTGTAAGCCGGTCTGAGAAGAGTAGTGAAGGGCGGGGTATAAATCCAATCTCCTCCTCCTCCTCCTTTGCAGAGGGGTTGTGGTTCCATTGGTAGAGGCTCTGCTTGGAATGCAGAAGGGCCTAGGTTCAGTTCCCAGCATCTCCAGTTAAGGATCAGGCAGCAGGTGATGCGAAAGATCTCCACCAGTCTGAGCAGACAGTACCAACCTTGATGGGCCAATAGCACGATTCAGTACAAGGCAGCTTCCTGTTCTACTCTGACTTATGCACTGCATTGTCTTAGTCCATCAGCCTAATTGAGCGAGGGAATCCATCCAGGAGCCTGGAGAACGTTTGCCGCTGGGCGTACCAGCAACAGCGGGCAGACCCGAAGCATTCTGAGCACCACGACCATGCCATCTTTCTGACCAGGCAAGATTTTGGACCAGCTGGAATGCAAGGTACTACAGTCGAGACCGTACGTTATACCGATTCAGACAGCCGTTGCATTAATCTGCAGATCGTTTTTGCTTCCGGTTTTTTTTATGGCTAAAAGCCAAGGGATATCCCGTGCGTGGATCCAAAAATCCGCAAAAACGGGTCCAGCCCGGGCTACTCTACACACGTCTGCAAATCCATAGGAATCCCTGGGTTTGCACAGAAATCAGATAAGAGGAGGATAATAAACCCAAAACAGAAACAACAGTCTCTTTGCCGATAGATTCATACCTCGGCGGGGAGGGCGGGGTATAAATCGAATTAAAAAAAAATATATAATATAATATACGAACCTCACACACATAAAAAGAAAATGGCGATTAATCAGCAGGTGGCAAGAGGAAAATCGCACAGGGAGATAGAACCTAAGTTGTCAGAGGGAAAACCGGGCAGCAGGAAGCGGCTTTTGAGGAGGTTCGATTTACATCAGTGTAAGTAGTCAGCGTACAGGCAGGCAATGGCAAACCAGCCGCTTGTCTCCTGCCTTGGAAATGGTACGGGGTCTCCGTAAATCAGCTGCAGTCTGTTGGTGCTTTCCACCACCAAGTAATCAGTGGACATCCCACATCATTCACACCTCATTTCATTTTCTCTGTCCATTACGTCGCTGTAGCATCGTAGGATACAGCTACAAAGAACTGGTACCCAGACTGCTAGGGGAACACAAGAAGCAAAAGTCATACAGTCAGCTTTGGAAGGGTTCTTCTATGAAGTCCCCAGAAAGGACACTGGACCCTTGGTCTGATCCGACAGGGCTGTCCTTATATTCTTGTAAATACCTGTCAAAATCTAAAGCAGAATGTTGGGGGGGGGGGTATTTGCTTTGTGAGAGCCAGTTTGGTGTAGTGGTTAAGAGTGCGGACTCTAATCTGGGAGAACCAGGTTTGATTCCCCACTCCTCCACTTACAGCTCCTGGCAAGACCTTGGCTCAATCACAAGTTCTCTCAGAGCTGTTCTTTCAAGGGCAGTTCTCAAAAGAGCTCCCTCAGCCCCACCTACCTCACAAGCAGTGTGCCCTCCAAGCTGAGTGAGTGTGAGCTAGCTCACAGTTTTTTTTTAGCCTCTGGCTCACACATTTTTGTCTTAGCTCTGGAAGGGATGGCTCCAGAACAAACTAATGTATGCAGGAGCCAAACACTCTGAGACTCCAAGTGAAGGACGGGGTATAAATCCAATCTCCTCCTCCTCCTCTTCTTCTTCCTCCTCTTCTTCTTCTTCTTCTTCCTCCTTCTCCTCCTCCTCCTCTTCTTCTCCTTATTCCTCCTCCTCCTCCTTCTTCTTCTTCTTCTTGTGTCATGCCCCTGATTTTTGGCAGCATTGTGGCTTGGATCCTGCGAATGAGTTCTGTGTGTGCTAGATAGTCGTTGCCATGGAGTGTTCTTCCTAGCACTTGTTTGAAAACCATTGAAGACCAGTGGTCTTGCTAGGACGGGGCCCAGAGTTCTCCCAGAATCACAGCTGACCTCCAGACGACAGAGATCAGTTTCCCTGGAGGAAATGGCTGCTTTGGAGGGCGGACTCTATGGTACCACAGCCCCGCTGACCTCTCTAAGCACCGCCCCCAAATCTCCAGGAATTTCCTCCACTGGCATTTAGGGGAAATGGGAAGGAATATCAACTTGTTTCAATCTCTGTTGTGCTGTCAAAAGACAGTGATTTCAAGTAATCACCCCACTTTCACTCTTCCGCCAGGTTATGCTCCGGTTACCGGCATGTGTCACCCCGTCAGAAGCTGCACGCTCAACCACGAAGATGGGTTCTCTTCAGCTTTTGTGGTCGCCCATGAAACTGGACACGTGTAAGTCTGGCAGTAAAATAAGGGCCGTCAACTCAAACTTGGTGCAGAGGAGTCCTAGCAGAGTTATCGGACCTTCCCAGTTGCCAACCAAAAGACAGGATGGCCGTGTTGGAGATGGTGATGATCTCCTACCCGGCCATCCTGTCTTTTGGTTGGCAACTGGGAAGGTCCGATGACCTTGCTGGATCGGGGATCCAACTCAGTATAAGGTGGCTCTCATAGGTTCATGTGACCATGACATAGGTAAGTCCTGAAGTCTTTATGGGGCCAAGCTCTATTTCAAGCCGAGGATGGTAAACGTTTGGAGAACCAAAGAACAAATTGTTCAGGCGGCTTACATATATATAT